ATACATGTTTTATGACTCATTTTACATGAAAAATGCGAATATGTGGGTCAGGCAACCTTAACCCTCGCCCGTAAACGGCGATCTGCCACCTTCGCCCATGCAGGGGGGGGGGGGGTTGGTGCGACCCCCCCCTTGGCGTTTGAAAACGGAGCGTCGTAGAGCTTAGCGGAAAAGACCAACGGATTGCTCTCGCCGAGATCTCGCGATTGGTGGTATATTTTTTGGTCCTAGGTCAACATTTGACCTACTTTTGACCGATCAAAGGTCAAAGTTTTCGGAAAAATAGACTTTTTCAACTTTCCGCGGCGATTGCGGCAAAACGGTGGGAGATATCGACTTGAAACCTTCACTATCGTGTTCCTTGATCAATTCTCTATCGTTTGGTATGTATTTCGTTTCCCTAGCTCTAAAAATGGCGCGTTGGGAGCGCCGGAAGTCGGCAAGGTCACAGTCGGCGGCAGAAATTCGAAAAATCAAAATTTAAATTTTTGAAATCTGATTGTATTTTTGGATTTGGGAGGTCCATTTGCTCCCTATAGAAGCTAATATTGCTGCATATTCCCATCGAGGTGACAAGAATTAGCAAAATAGTGGTTCGGGCGCTTTTCAAAAATAGTACCGGACGCTGTTCCTCTTGTGACGTCATAGCTCCGTGACCTGACCTGACCCGGTCAAGTTTCTTATACCATATGATAGCCAATACTTGCCCCAACATGCATGGGAAGTTTCATCACGATCCATCAACCGATGTCCGTACCACCGGCAGGAAACCTCGGGCGTTGGCACTCAATTTGTGAAAATCCGGCCGGAGGCTGTTCCCTTTGTGACGTCATAACTCCGTGACCTGACATGACCCGGTCAAATTTTTTTTTATCAAAAGATGCGCAAGGTTTGCCCCATAAGGTCCCCAAAATTTGGCGGCGCTGCGCGCCGCCGTTTTTGCACTATTTCCGAAAAACCTCAGGGGGGGTTGCACCAACCCCCCCCCTACATGGGCGAGGGTTAAGGGCAAGTTTAGGATATGTTCTGGTGAAGGTAAGGTAAAGGTCAGGTCAAATGAGGTCAAATTTCAAACTTGACATTTTTGCATAAAGTGAGTATCGATTCGATGCAGCTCGTCACGGGGAGTCTAATGGTGTTCTTTGTTTTTCGCTACGTGGTTTAGAATTGCTAAAAATCGAGTTGAAAAATTTGATGTAATCAATTTTGAAGATTTCGCTACAACTTGGCCAAAAATGAAGGTATCGATCTAAAATTTGGTATGTATATAGAAGAGAGTAGGGACTAGCATATATTCACCGGTTCTTGGAAATTCGAAACATTTTTGGGATTTTTTTATTCTATCAGAAAAATTGTTTTGGGGGTCAAATTCACAAATTTTTGAAAATCCGAGATATCGTTTTTGTAGCGCCATCTTGTCTCTAAACGACCACTTAAAGAACTTTGAAATTGCTTGTTAATTGTACCTTTTGAAAGCGTTTCAAGATTTTATGTTTTTCGCTCATTTTGGCTCGAACATGACCTCAGGCTCAGTTTGACCTCAATAACTCCTGACCTATGGTGAGCTATGACTTTAAATTTTGTGTGAAGGTGTCAAATTGATGTCTTAAAAGGTACAAAAAATTTGGCGGCGCTGCGCGCCGCCGTTGGTTTGCTATTCAAGAAAGCCATAGAGGTGAGGGGGGCTAATTAATGCCCCCATCAGGGCACGGGTTAACTGAACGTGACTTAATTGATTAAGTTTAAGTTACCCAAATCGTATCATTTCGCATATTATTCGCTTCGGCTGATCACAAGGAACACAATGACACTATTTTATAAGTTCTACCCTCATTGTGTCCGAAGTTATCAACAAAAATGTAGTTTGACTGACCTCATCCTGATCTTAGTGTTTTTCATTAACCCGCGCCGGGCCGGGGTTGTTTGAACACCCTCCCCTCCCTGCGATTTTTCGCAGATATGCTCCACGCCACCGTTTTTGGCACATTTGTTTATGCATCTTTTCCACATACGTTGTGAAAATTTCAGACCCAGGGCTGTCAAGGTCAGGTCACCAGGTCAGGTCAAGTGACCTCACCTCAGAAAAAGTTTCAATCCTCGTCATAGCTTCACCGACTGAACGATCGCCTTGACACTTTCAGCGATTGATAAGAGTGACAGTATGTACAAAATGTAGGTATATTTCGGAATTTTGATATCGATGACCTAAGGTCAGGTCAATTTTGCGACCTCTCCATAATTATAAGTCAATGGGAGAAAATTGCCCAAATGCACCTCTTTTGGACGAATGATGTTCAAAGTCCTCTCAAGCATCGGTTCATAGGTAAACATGACACACTGAATCGGAAAAATGCACCTGTGACCTCTCTGTGTGCTCCTTAGGTCATCTCAGGTCATGAACGGTCACAAGCAGTTTTTTGGCTATAACTTTTGATAAAGACGTGCTAGAGCGATGAAAACACGTCAGATGTATTCAGCTCGACGATACAGATCGACTGATATGCAACATGACCCTTTCCGGTCAGGTCATGACCTTGACCTGAGGTCAAATTATCAAAATGACCTTTCAAAGTCAAATAATAGTCCATTTGACGCGTCTCGACGAGAGGAACACGATGCTGCCAAGAATAATGTCGTGGTTCTCTTGAGTCAAAAGTTATTGACGAAAAACCATTTTCATGAAAACTGCTATTTCTACAGTTTTTGTTTAACAATTGGAGTTATTCAGATAAATTTTCTTTTAATTTGTCGTGACCCTAGATGACCTCAGGTCATCTGAACTTGAAAAAATCTGGATGTAGGTTATACAGCTCGGTGATCTTAGCATATTCTCCCAGCTTGAATCATATCGATGAACAACTCTAGATTTCATTGACATAACAGTGTATTTTCATTGCCATTTTTAACCTTCGCCCCAGTGGGGGGGGGGGCATATGTTAACACCCTGTCGCGTTTTTTGCGTGTGAATAAAAAAAACCGCGGCGCGTAGCGCCGCGCCGCTTGGGGTAGCTTTTTGTACATCAATTTTGGACAATGTGTGAAATTTTTGGCCCTAGGTCATGTCAGGTCAGGTCACCAGGTCAAGTTAACTGACCAAGCCTAAAAATAGTTTGCAATCATATCCAGCCTGCAGTGTTTGTCAGAAAGGTTTAAAACTTGGTGGATTGCATGATGTTATGGGCGCCTACAATTTGTACGATTCCCATACAAATGAGCTAGCCACAAAAGAGCTAGTGTTGTTTGAACTAGCTCATTTGGGCTAGTGCCACAAAATAGCTAGTGCGATTGTAACTAGTCCCACCAAATAGCTACGAGCAAAATGACTAGTGTTGTAAAGGGCTAGTAGATCGGGACACGCCGTACCTCTTCGGGATTTTATAAGCAAAGTTCAGTTCAGATCAGATCGGTCACTAAAAAAGGTCGTAATATTGAAAAAGACAGAAACATCCAACCAGATTTTATTCTCAAACGTTCATCGAAATGTCGTATCCAACTCCGCGAAGAAACTCCTGCCTGTCTATGATGTCTTCTGCGAGACGGCGAATGAGGACCTTAATTCGTTTATTTATATCGGCATAATTTTTCTCTTGTTTTTGAACTTCGGTTCCTGCTTTGAATTTGCAAAGTTCGGCAGCTTGCAGCGCTTCTTTTTTTTTTTGAAACACGGCCAGACAACACCAAAGTAACGGGTGTGGTGAGTCCACCATTCCTTGGATTGCCCTGTGCCACCCTTCAATTTTGTTGTTGGTCCTCGACATTCCCTCGTCGGTGCGAATTCTGACATTCCACATGTCTTTTCCGAAATTTTTGTGCTCTCCTTTGCCCCCTCCGTCCCTGCCTCACAATGTAGATATCTTCAAAGTAATTGTAACAGGTATCTTCAAAGTTCTTTGCACCACTAGCTCTCCTTGGGACTAGCTCTTAAAAGTTACTAGCTATTTTAATTAGCTTTTACATCACTAGCTCTTTTGTAGCACTAGCTCAAACGTACTAGCTCAAATGACACTAGCTGTTTTGTCGCTAGCTATTCCGACACGAGGCCAATTTGTATATCTCGGATTTTTTTTTATATCCGTGCCCTAAGGTCAGGTCAGTGGCGTGACCTTATAATTATAAGTCAATGGATAAAAATGAAAATGCCTCTAGATCCGTGTGGCGTGTGTAAGCATAGGGACACTCCAAATATTTCAGAATCACAATGATTTGGACCACCCGTGACGATCAAGGTGTCTTTTTTGCTGATAGCCTCTAGAAAGGTCATCCGAAGTCATTTGAGGCTACAAACAGATTTTTGCCAATAACTCTCGATTGGAAAGAGATAGGACGCTGGGGATGGTCTCATTGGGTTTGTCTTGTTGAGACGCATCGAATGATATGCAACATGACCTTTTCCGGTCAGGTCATGACCTTGACCTGAGGTCAAATTTTTAAGTTGACCTTCCAAGGTCCAATTATAGTTCATTCGACGCGTCTCGGCGAGAGGAACACGATTCTGGCAATAGAAATGTTGTGGCATTTTTTAGTCAAAAGTTATTGCCGAAAAACACATTTCGTAAAAACAGCTATTTTTTGAGTTTTTGCCCTCTGGAGGCTAAACCGTTGACCTAAGGTCAATTTAGGTCAGATCTTATCAAAAGAAGAGTTCAAAACATATCGATTGCTTTTCCATGCGTTTTTCTAGCTATCATAGTTCCTGAGATAAATGCATGTTTCCTGAGAAATATAATGGCATTTGGCAAATTTGGACCTTTGATGACCTCCAGTGACCCCAATATTGGTCTAAGATGAAAAATGACTGAAATTCTTTCATACTGTACGCATTGAAAGCTATCGACTGCTTTTTACCGCGTCTTTCTAGCCCTCTTAGTCGCTGCCGTTTTCTTGCTATTCAGGAAAAACCACGGGGGGGGGGGGCAAATTGGCCCCCCAGCGGGGCGAGGGTTAATAGAAAATTAAGCTTAATCAATCCCCATCCCCGGTTGTTGCCGTTCTACCCACAGTGAACGTACGCGAGCTGGCGCCCGACGAGCGACCCTGGGAGCTGATGAAGTCCATCAGCCGCGACTCAGTGCTGCAGATGACTCTGGCCCGGTTCCACCTGGCCGAGCGGAGGGACCCTCACGGGCCCAGCGTGCCCCTGTTCGTGGGAAACCTGCCGCTCAACCTCAACCAGCGCCAGTACGAGAAAATCCTGCTGGCCATCCTCGGCAGAGGTCAGCGAGGGGTCACCGGGGGGACGGGTCCACGGCATAGGCGGCGGAACGATTTGAGACAAGGGGGGGCACCATGGCTCAAGGAGCCAAACCTAGGGTACCCCCAAATCCTGTTTTCTCATCGGATTTAGGCCACTTATTTTTCGTCACAGCCCTGACACGATGATTTTTTTTTTTTTTTTTACTAAACGAAAATTGCAGTTCACCCCCGTATGCAGGGGTGTACCTAATTTTATATCTCTTTGTGGGGGCATATGCACCCACAATCCTGAATTATGCCCCCACAATGATGAAAAAGCACCCACAAGTCTTTTACAAGGCTGCAAGCGTCCTTTCGAGAGCACGGTGCCCTTCGCATGCTCTAACGGCGTCCTCCTAACCGTCTCGCGTTCATGTACCGGGGTTACATGAGCAAGTAAATGCGTATCAGGAACGGATTTTCCTATTCGCTCACCATTGTAGTCCGTTTGTAATGCGTATTAACTCTGCTCATGTAACCCCGAGCATGGATAGCGTTTTTAATCATCACTCGGCGCCCTTCTGGGAGAATGGCGCACTTTTGACAGCACCGCGCCATTCTCATGGTCTAACGGCGCCCTCCTGACCGTCTCGCGTCCTTAGGTCTCTGTTCACCGTGCATCCCTCGACTATTCGGCGCCCTTCTGGCCTCTCAGCGCCCCTGAACCACATATAGCGTTTTCAATCACTCGGCACCCTTTTACGAGAATGGCGCCCTTTTCATGATCTCAAGGCGCCCTCGTAACCATCTGGCGCCCCCACGTCCCCACCAACGTAGCACTACTGACTGTGCGGCGCCCTTCTGGCCTCTTAGCGCCCCTAGACCACATAGCGTTTTCAATCACTCGGCGCCCTCCTAAGAGAATGGCGCCCTTTTCATCGTCTCACGGCGCCCTCGTAAGTCGTAACCGTCTGGCGCCTCCACATTTGGTGCCCCTCCTACTGGATGGCGCCTCTCTACATATTTTTTACGTCCTTCCGGTCAGTTTCCACTTTTAAGCGTGTATTTGCTTAGTCAGACACGTCACTTGAAGCGCCATTCGGCTAGCAATGTTATCAAATTCGGTGTTAATTTAGGCTCCCACATAAAGAATATCTATCGCGCCCCAAAACGGCCTGGCGCCGGGCGCCCCTACAGCTGGGCACCCACAATCATTTTAGGAAAATTACACCCCTGCCCGTATGTGTGGTTAACTTTAAGCTGATCCTCAAGTACCTATGTGTTTGTCTCTTCCTTATTGTCGTTTGATAAATTCCATTTATCCTACATGTATAATTCCCAAGAAGCCATCGCAGTACTAATCAGTGGCGAATCCCAGGGTGGAGGTCACATGTGTCATGACTTAGGGCCTGGGGTCACCACATGCCTGCCAGGAGCACCACAGGCCTGACAGCCGACAGGGGCACCACAGGCCCGCCAGGGGTGCCAAAGGCCTAGCAGGGGCACCACGGGCCTGTCAGTGGCACCACAGGCCTGTCAGGAGCACCATCGGCCTAGCAAAAGCACTACAGGTCTTCCAGGGGCACCACAGACCTGCCAGGGGCACCAGAGGCCTGTCAGGGACACTATCGGCTTCGCAGGGGAACCACCGGCTTCTCAAGGGCACCATGGGCCTGTCAAGGGCACCACAAGCCTGTCGTTGGCAATTTAGGATTGTCAGAGGCACCACAAACCTGTCAAGGGCACCTACGTTCTAACAGGGGCACCACAAACCTGCCAAGGCCCAGGGACACCACATGCCTAGCAAGGACACCACAGGCCTGTCAGGGGCACCACGGGCCTGTCAGGGCCCATGGGCACCTAAGTCATGTCAGGGCCCACCGTAGGCTTGTCAGGGGGCAGGGTAGGTAGGTACCACAGTCTTTCCAGGGGCACCAGCGGCTTAGCAGGGGCACCAGTCATCACATGACTAACCAAAAATAAAGCAAAAAAAAAACTGAAAATAGGGCACCACCAAAATTAAGTGGGCGAAATCCGTTGAGGTTTTAATTTTGGGCATAGGTACTAGGTAGGGGCACCACTTCGATTCATGAACCTCCCCTTTCCCGAATTTCCCGAGTTTTCCCGAATCCGCCCCTGGTACTAATACATCAAATTTAAGGGGGGGGCACCTTGCTATTGGTGCCCCCCTTGCAGAATCCAAGGGGGGCACGGTGCCCCGGTGCCCCCCCCCGTTCCGCCGCCTATGGTCCACGGCCACCGGGGAACGGGGTCCGCACCGGGGAACGGAGTCCACGGCCGCCGGGGAACAGGGTCCACACCGGGGAATAGGATCCACGGCCCCTCCGTTCTTGGTTGGTGTTGCTGAAGAAGAACTGTTGGACCTATGGGGTGTCACGCCCTGGCAAGTTGTATCGGTGGTAAATGGATGAGATGCACATGTTTCCTTTAGAATTGGACGGGAGTAACAAGATATGAGGTTATGCGTTGACAGGAGTGAGTGCGCGGTTGGCTAGATTCGTGAAGAACGTCTCCTAACTTCAGTATTTATTTTGCGTTAGCTTCCGGGTTTGTTTAGAAATAGATAAAACAACCCAAAAAATGTGCTAAGATGTTCTCAGAAATCCTGAGGGAAATCAATAATAACCTGTTTGTTGCATGCTCCCCATTTTGCAGCAATTTGTGTATAGATACTGCTTCTACATTATGTATAATCCTTAGATATACAATTGCCGAATATACCTATTAATTACAATTAGATTATGTTCTTCTCTCACATTCAGCAAACAAATTTTCATCAATCGGGCCCATCTACTACGAGTACGGCTCGCTGGTGATCGTGTACAATAACGCCGAGGATGGCACCCGCGCCTACTACGCCCTTCAGGAGGCCTCGTACGAGGACAAACATCTGCTGGGTACGTATGCGATGAGAATAAACAACTGCTTGGTAGTATGCGGCGGGGACAAACTACCACCCGACACATAGGCGGCGCGGCGGCTGCAGCGGTCTAGCCCTCGCCCTGGCAGGGGGGGGGGGTCGATGCGACCCCCCCTAAGGTTTTTCGAAGATAGCGTAAAAACGGCGGCGCGCAGCGCCGCCAAATTTCGCACAGCCTATGGGGCAACCTTTTTACATATGACCTGAAACTTTCAGGTCCGGGTCACCTTGGGTCAGGTCACCAGGTCAGAAAAACTGGTACAAGGTCATGGTCAAATTTCAATTTTCTTTTGCACCTGTCCAACTCACAGTTTTGAGCTGATTTCCTTCAAACTTTCAGGATGTGCTAAGTTCACCGAGTTGTATAACATATAGTTCGGGGTTTTTAAGGTCACTGACCTGAGGTCAGTTAGAGGTCATTACGTCGTAATGTTAAGCCTATGGGAAAATACTAAATTCGGAAAATACTGGAGATATCCGCTTCGTTCTACCACTTTTGTGCTTTGAAACCACAGTACTTAACAGCAGGTCACTTGGTGCTTCTTTGTTTGGTGTACTTATCCATGGGTCAGGTCAAATGAGGTCAACAGAGGTCAAATGACGTTTTTGCCAATAACTTGGCACATAATGACGCTAGAGCTTTGAAAATGGTATCTTTGTGTTCCTGGTGATCAGCCGAATCGAATGATATGCGATGTGATGCAATTTTGTTAACTTGAACTTAATTTATTAATTTAAGTTTACTTAAAATTTAAGAAAAACTTTATGTACACTTAAGCAAGCTAAATAGTATATCATTCGACGCGCCTTGACGTTCTGAGTTCACTGGTGCTTTTCTTTTTGCTCTATCTTAATTAGATCAAAAGTTATAAGCGAAAAACTTTTGACCTGTTTTAGCGAAATTTTTACATTTATACCCCCCAAAACCCCCCTAAATATTGACCTAGAGCAACCAAATTTGCACAGGGGCGAGAACTCCTGGGGGCCCACCTACCTACTAAATTTGGTGTTTCTAGGTGCCATAGGAGCCAATCGCGAGGGGGGTCGCATCGACCCCCCCCCCTGCCAAAAATGCCCTGCCAGGGCGAGGGCTAGTAGCTCAGGATCGACAAACACCGACTTACCTCACATAAGCTCTGGTCGGTATATAAACACAAATGTGGTAATAAGGACCGCGCAATGTGCTATGTGTCAATTGTCATGGACGAATGCCGGTAATTATGGACCTTTCATGTTCGTAGGTCTATTCAGCATCTCTGTTTGGGCACATTTGCGAAAGTGCAATTAGCTACATTGCCAGCCATTGCTGAGGTGATCATTGCTGTAAGCATTAAGACATGCGGTGTATGTAAGCTTGAGTATAAACAATCACTATTCCTGGGGTGGCGAGTTGATGCCACCATAGGAACGCCAGCTACACGCAATGTGTATTGTGCATGAGCACCGTTTGTTAGCTAACTAACTATACATACGGACAGGAGATATATGGCTTCGTGACAAAGTAAAGTATCAACCTCCTTTTGCAAGAAACTCCAATATTTCTGGCTGTAACCGAAACCCCATGGCACGAAGCCTCCATTGAATGACCGGTTGTCATAGCGGACCCAAAAGAGCCGATAGCAACCCCGGTGACTGTTGCGCTGGGCAGCATGAGGGTGCCGTCAAATCGCCTGCAATCACGCGTGTATGGAGCTGCCACTGCTCGGTTGGTGATTTCAGCTTGGACTAAAACTAAATGTCTGCTTGACGGAAAATCTCATTATCTGTGGGTCTCAGCATATTTTGTAATTCCTTCTACGTAAATGTGTCTTGCAAACTGACCCTAATTATAGTGGCAGGCTGCTGGATACAAAAGGTAAAAAAAAACAGAGACTAAACTGCAGTTACCAATTTGGGGTGTCAAGGGTTACCGGTGCGACGAAATACATCAAGCATGGGGTATTTGAATCGGATGACCATTACAGCTTTTTGTTTAAAGCGTTATGTTGGTGAAATATTGAGCGCTATAATTGACCTATGTAGCTGATCTGGATCTGACTGTGCCCATGGAAATGGTGTTTATCAGCACCCGAGCCCAACCATACGAGTAGCGACCGGCGCCATCAGGTAGATCGCCTGCGGGAGCCTATACGATTTTTTTATGAACCTGACAAGTACTGTTTAGGCCCCAATCAAGTTGCCCCAAGCTCAGGCAGGTATGGAAAACACCTCCCGACCGAGAACTGCTCCGGTTGTTTTTTTCAATAGAAAAAACACAATTCTAACGAATAGTGTTTGTCTATCAACCTGCGGTTATGAAGTGTTTGATAATGAATAAAAGTTACCATACTTTGACGTGAACTATTAGCTCACACCACACATTTCCCATCTTCCACTGTTTTCAAGGTCGTACGTTTGCTTGTTTCAAGGTCGTTGCAAAGGTGACGTTACAACGTTAAAAAGGACGATATCGCCGTCTCGTCGGGCGGCCGATGCTCAGTAAGTTAAGACCCCTCCCCTGTGTTGCAGTGATGATACTGCCGTCACTGTCACCGGAGCTGATACCACCCGGGGTGCGGCCCGTGCTGTTCTTCGTCAACGTCAAGTCGGGCGGCTGCCAGGGCCTCGAGCTCATCACCAGCTTCAGGAGGATGGTCAACCCCAGCCAGGTTTTCGACCTCGACAACGGCGGCCCGCTGCCCGGGTCAGTAGATAGAACAGTTGTGCTATAGGGCGCATGTAATCCTTAACGGGTGATTGTTTACAGTGCTCAATTGTTAATTGTTATGCTATATAGTCAAGCCTTTTCACCATAAAACCGTACGTAACGATTTAGGAATCAATATTTCTGAGAAAAAAAAAACGATGGCATGGGAGGAGAGATGCCGGTTTTTCAAAGCACTCACATCGCACTCGCTTGTTTTTTATCGTTAATATTTCTTATCCGTGATAGTGAGAAGTGACTACTATCGATGCGGTTCGTATTGCGTCTGTTCGGCTCAGCAATGTTCGCAGCATGTCTCAATAGGCATCGACATGGACCGTGTGCAGAAATTTGGTCTGAGTCCATGCTCCGAAAGCTGTTTACACTGACCTAATAATGATCTAATAATGACTTACACTACTGGTAAGTCATTATTAGACACTCGGACGATTCAGCTGTGATCGATTTTTGTAAATAGTTATATCCCAAATCCTTGTCTGCATTTGTCGGAATGTTCATAGGGTCAACTACTCTGGGTGGGAGTCAAGGTCAAGTGAAGGTTAGGTCAAGGTTATTGACCTTTGATGGCCTTGGCTCACTTTTTCGAGGTTTACATGTTCCTAGGGTAGTTTTTAGAGCTGATTTTGACAACTGTCATTGCCCAAGTTCATCTACTGCGATAGTTGCTTTGAAAAAAAAAAACAAAATGCAAAACACTATGTCGAAAAGGCTGTAAATGTATATTGGGCAAAATGCCTCTTGAATATGACAATTTTCAAAAGACAACCCACACACAAATACAAGCGAAGACAAATAACATGTATTTGTCTGCCCCGTGTTCCTCCGTGTCCACCTTTCCGTGACCGGACACTCTGTGAGTCTGACAGTGCCTTCACACCTGTGTGTCTGTCTGCCGGCAGGCTGTACGTGTTCCGGAAGGTGCCCGACTACCGGATACTGGTGTGCGGCGGAGACGGCACCATCGGCTGGGTGCTCCAGTGTCTGGACAATGTTGGCCAGGACAGCGAGTGCTCCTCCCCACCGTGCGCCATCGTACCACTCGGCACTGGTAAGCGCACAGTGGACTCCAATGGGGAACACCAGTGGGTAAAGTGTCCTCAATGCAGCCAGTGAGGTCATGATGTGCTCTCAGAGCACCAGTGTAGTGGGGAGAATGTGCTCAGAAATGTTGTTCAGTAAAAGTGCCTACGTTGTAACTTCTCTGGGCAGCGGCGATATATGTAGTTTGTGCCGTATAACGCATTTTACTCGGCCAGCAATAACGGTGTTCATGGTGATTACGAAAAAAAAACGTTGGTTTCTTGACCATGGGCTCCTGTGAAATAACATGTGAAGGAAGCTTGCCTCGCAAAATGCACAACTTTTGACTCCCACTGACAAAGAGAGGTCAGACCGCGTAAAGTCTATAGTGGCGTCCCAGGGAGGTTGCACAGTGCGCAGCGCAGCGAATACCGTGTGATGTTAATGTGCCGTGTACTGACGTAAATCCTTCGTGTACACGCTCGTCGCTCACTCCGAAGTCCCACTAGGCGAGCTCCTTTTCGGTCTATGACTCATAATTACCACTAATGCACTATGGAAACGGCTGCAATAAATGCGTGCTGCAACGTTTACTACCAGGCACCATTCGAGGTTTGACCGCGGGAGCGAGGTTAACGAGTATCGCAGCCTAAAATAGTCGAGTCTGACTGTCCAGTCCACTAACCACCGAAATACATGGCGCAATTACGCATATTTGGTTCAGTCATTGGTTGATAGTATAAAGTGGCTTTGTTCATGTAAAATGCTATTTGGGCGCCTCGAAACCCTAGCTGCTGCTCGTGAAACTGTAAATATGCCAGCCTGTCGGTGGCGGCGCAAAGACGCCTTTTAATTGCCTTCAAGAAATGGGTTGGGTAGTCATGCCGACGAGCTAAATCGTGATATTAGCCAAGATTCTTGATATTAGCCACAACTATTGGCCTTATCCAGCCAGCACTTACTGCCTACTTCATGCCCACTTCTGTGGGGAAAGCCTTTTGAATTGCTCCGCAGTCTTCACTAAGTACTAGCAGTGGCTAAATGACCATGGAGTGGCTCAGTTCACTGGTAAGTCTAGCAGTGAACTGCGGAACTCACTGCGAAATTGCGCATTGGTGCAAATATTCCGCCTTACATACACTAATTCACATAAAAATGTCAAAAATTGGGTCATACTGTTATGTGAAGCGGCAACCGACGAAAAAAAAAAGAACTGTTCATAAAAACTTCGTTAAATATATATTTGCAAATTATGTGGATGTGATTGTCATACGAATGCCATTTAGGTCAGGTTCCTCCAGAGCTCACTGTCATGCAAAAATGCATTCAAATACCTATTGACCGTGAAACCAGCTTTTCGGCTGCTTTCGAAGGTCGAACTAGCCCGTAACACACATCACTCACTTCATTACAATGAAATGTTGTAGATATAAATCCGAGCAAAACTATAGCATACAGCAAAACTGTAGCATTTGAGCTGGCCAACAAAGAAAGCCACCAACTGAGCCTCCCCATGCCCGCCGCCACAGGGAACGACCTGGCGCGAGTGCTGCGCTGGGGTCCCGGCTATTCGGGCGGAGAGGATCCCAACACGCTGCTGCGAGACGTCATCGATGCCGAGGAGGTCCGCCTGGACCGGTGGACGGTGGTGTTTCACCCGGACGACAAGGGCTCAGAGGTGGACTTCACCAAGTCAGCGCTGCCCAACTCGCAGGGTGAGACGAGCGCAATGACAGTCATCAACACCTTCATCATTCTCATCATCATCATGGTCATTGATTGCTCTCTGTCCACTCAACAGTCAGCATGGGACTCAAGGTCTATGCAGAGTCATTTTGGCATAGCCCTATTGACTGACAACAATGGTCGATGGAAATCATTCATCACTAAATCCCCATTTGATAGTGTGCGATTGGATGCACGGTAAAAAAGCGGGTGATGCCATCGTTCAAATAGCTTAGTGTTAAGGGCCAGCAATTACGTGTCTACACGCTACAACAGCCACTTCCGCTGGGAGAATATGAGGGAAGTTATATCTCATGCGTGTACTCTGTTCATAGCAAGCGCTTGCTGCAAGCCGCTTTGCTATAAAGCCCTACTTACTGCAGTCGTTGACCTTCACAGCATGTCTCGCTAATTGTTTTTTGAATAATGTATCACCCATCGTACACGCGAATATGATTGCCAGCATTGAAGGATTCCTAGGAACTGATTCTGCCCAACGACGAGCATTTTCAGCTTAGCCGTTTGTCCAATGTTTGGGTAAATTACTAACCCGTGAACACTTCAAACACTTCAAATATTCTAAAGAAGCTTTGATTCTAATCCCGCCCTTCGTACTTATTACGATCAGATCACTTTACCATGGGTTATCGCTGTTGCAGGTTCCACCAGCGAAGACAACACACAGATTTTCGTCATGAACAACTACTTCGGCATTGGGATCGACGCTGACCTGTGCCTGGACTTCCACAACGCCCGCGAGGAGAACCCGGACAAGTTCAACAGCCGGCTGCACAACAAGGGCGTCTACGTGAAGATGGGCCTGCGGAAAATGATGAGTCGGAAAATGTGCAAGGACCTCCACCGGCACATGAAGGTGGAGGTGGACGGAAAGCCCCTGGAACTGCCGCCTGTCGAGGGCATCATCATCCTGAACATCCTCAGGTGGGAAACGGTCTAAATGGTTAGAGTCTTTATGCTATAATTGCATATTGATGGTATGCACAATGCACATGCTATGACATGCTATGATTATTGACTGCCACGCACAGTTGGCAGTGCCAACTGTACGTAATGTAAAGTTTGTACCGATATATGAACATTGCAGTTCTATTTATGTTTCCATGAGTCCCACCCGACACCCGCGCGACCTCTGCCGGTGCCCGCTGACCCTGTCGCACCGCGCGCGCAGCTGGGGCAGCGGCGCCAACCCGTGGGGACCGGAGAAGGACGACCAGTTCGGCACGCCCAACCACTGGGACGGAATGCTGGAGATCGTGGGCGTGACGGGCGTGGTGCACCTGGGCCAGATCCAGTCGGGCCTGCGCTCGTCGATCCGCGTGGCGCAGGGCGGCCACATCCGCATCCACCTGCACACAGACATGCCTGTACAGGTGGACGGCGAGCCGTGGGTGCAGCCCGCCGGAGAGGTGGTCGTCCTCAAGTCGGCACTCAAGGTGAGCGGCAGCAGAGCGAGGAGGGATCACATGGAGATCGGGTGACAATGAAAGAGGTCAAAAACGACGTAGGGTCTTGGGGGAGAGCGAAAAATAATTTATTGAGTAGCGAAAAACATACAAGCCCTTTTAAAAGTCAAAAAGAGATATTTTCCCCATTGACGCTTTAAATAGTTGTATTAAGATGCTCGGATGATATTTAACGAAATAAAACATAAGCCATAAGGTTTAGCGGGAATTGATCATCAATTTAATTGGGGCATTTGGCCTTTGTGACCTGACCTTTCGTATCAAAACCGTGTATTCGTCGGTGCTTATTTTCAATGGCTAGTCTGTGCTTTGCTGTGAAACATGCTCATGGCATTTCATTCATGAATGATATTGTGTTTATTTGATTTACTAATGCTCGTAAAATTTGAGCTTTGCTGGAGTCATTACGAGCGAGCGAGCGCAGCGAGCGAAGTGAGTCTTTTCAATATAACGGAAAAATCTCAGTATGAGCGGCCCGGCCCGGCCCGGCCCGGCCTGTAACCCTTTTGAGAGGCTTATATCTCAGCAACCGCTGGACCGATTGGCCTGCGGTCTTTTTTTGTTGGGTAGCCCCATCCCTTCTACCCCGTAATTGACTACTTTTGATACATCTCAGTGACCGTCGTGGCACGTGCCACGTGAAAAGTCAAGGGTGTTCAAGCTGTTTTGCAAAAATAGTGATTTTGAGAGGCTCATATCTCAGCAGCCGCTTGGGCGATTGACTTGCGGTAATTTTTGTAGGGTAGCAGCATCCCTTCTACCCAAAATAGGATACTCTCGATGCATGTGGGTCACCCCCAGTGCACGTGCAAAATACAACAATAAGAGGTGCCAAATTTGTTTCCATTTCAGTAACTCGGTAATTACTGGGGCGATTTCGCTGAAACTTGGCATACAGGTAGGCACCCACCAGGCAATGCATTCCCATGTGTTGCGGTTAGGGTGCTACTGCACGTGCGCACGTGCAGGGGGCGTTTCCAGATCTCGAGAACGGCTGGGCCGATTGCGCTCAAATTTGGTACACGGTTGGGGACCAGTTAGTAGGGTGCCGTGCAAAAGTCATTTTGGACCCCGTTTGCACGTGCGCACGTGCAGAATGCCGCTTCCAGATCTCAGGAACGGCTGGGCCGATTGCGTTCAAATTTGGCACACCGCTAGCGACCGGTTAGAAGGGTGCTTTGCGCAAGCCCGTTGGAAGCACCCTCTCGCCCTTCCGCACGTGCAGGGCTCACTATCTCGCTCGCTCGTTCTTCGCCCAAAAGGCGTTTTACTGGTATTAATTTGAATAATTATTAGGAAGCATCATATCCGCCGATTCCCCACGGTCATGCCCAGAAACTGTCAGCATTATTCCTCGGTTCATGTTTGTGTGATCTGTGTTTTAATGGTAACTTTTCTGTTCCGTTGACATTATTCGAAATTTTGTTTTAGGCGACAATGCTAAAGAAAATCAAAATGCGCCGCCGCAATACAGAGTCCTCGCTGGTATCCACGGAAGGCGAGTCGACCCGCGACTGAGAGTCCGCACCAGCGTCGCCCCTGCCCTCCCTCCCCGTCCGCCCTGCCCCGGCCCCTCGCTGTCGCGCGCGCGCCGGCCGCCAGGGCGGCACAGAGGGAGCATGCGACCACCTCTGGTGCCGCCGCGGCGCGCCGCAGTCTGTGACCCTGCCCCTCCCCCTCTCTTCTTTCTCGCTCTCTGTCTGTGTCCACCCGTGCGCGCGCGGCGCCTGGCGCGTGCAGGCCACCATGCTGAAGAAGCTGAAGTCGACCAAGCTGCGCCGCAGGAGCACGGAGCCGAGCCTGGGCGGCGGCGCTCAGCTGGTGCCCACGGTCTCCTCCCCGGCCGGCGAGCGGGTGTGACCGGGCCGGCGAGCGGGTGTGACCGGGCCGGCGAGCGGGTGTGACCGGGCCGCCGGCGCCCTAGGAGCTAGTGGTCGGCGCCGCCGCCGCCCCAGTGGGTGTTAGTTGATGTGTGCACAACCCCGCACGCCCAGTAGCGGGCAGCGCACACCGGACTCGCGCCGAGCTTAGGTGTGTCAGTATGTGGTGGGCGCAGTGCCGTTTTTGAGGTATGTATTTATTTGTTACGGCCATCGGCGACGCTTGCTGCAGACGCTGCCTTGTTGTTACCATAGTCTTAAATATCACTTTGTACGCGAGTTTACCTAGATATTCCGTAGAGCTTGTCAGATTATTTTTATATGTCCTTGTTGCGGGCGAACTGGCCCGCTCACAATCGGTTTGCGCAACAGTGGGACGGCCCGACAATCGTATACGCGGCGACATTCCAGACGTGCGGGGCGGCACCGCGAGCCGCCCCGGGGCACATGTCGCAGGTCACAGCGCCGGCCGGCGGCGGCGTGTCGTCGCCGCCGCTGCGCTCGTGTAGCATTGTCTCCGAACGGTATATGTTGTTCCGGTTGATTTCGAGACAAGCTCCGAGTATGGGATATTTTCTCACACCCCTCACCTAGTCCGTGTCGGCGGGTCGCGCCGCCCCAGAGTAGCCGGCCGTCGGCGCGACGGCGCCCCGACAGTGCCAATCTTACTGCTTGTCTCGTGCTCACTGTTCTGATGTACCGTGCATGTATAGGTGTTAGAGTAGCGCTCGACCGCATGCCTCCCGCGACCGGTGGCGCCCTGCCAACATCGAATCGGCCGCCCCGGGCCGCTACCCTCCTGTCCCCGCCGCGCCGCGCCACTCCACAGGGTCTGCCCCCTCTCTCTATCTCTGCCCGGCTCGCGCTGTCCTCGGCGGCACACGCCGCCTGTGTGTGCGTCCGTGTGGGTGGGTGTGCGAGCGAGAGCGTCAGCGAGACGAGCTGGCCGGGCGGCGCTGCCGGTCGACGACAGCGCCGCTCGGCGGTCGTGGTTGGAACCAACCACACCATCGGGCAGTGCCGGCCTGGGGCTCAGTTGTTGTGTGGCAACCCATCCGTTCCACTCAACAATACGCCGGCAAGGCCCGATGGCGCGAACCGAGACAATCTCATGTTTTCTATGTGTTGTACGTAGGGTTGCAGTTTCTGATCGTCGTGATTCGCTGGCGTTGGGTTTTAGTGTGGCGTGGCGCTGTTGGGCCCGGCCGCCGGTGTGTCCGTACTCGACTCGGCTCCGCCGGCCGGCCTGGCCCGACCAGCGCCCTTTCGGTTGGTTTTTTATTGTTATGTCTGCAATAAATATACCAGCTGTACCCGGTCGTGTCGGGCCAGAGATCAGACTGGGCCGGGATGGTGGCCAGAGCAGGCTGAATGCCAGCTGTGCGGAAGAGCCATGCGATGCAGGGTGTCTGCGCAGAAAACCTAGGTGAACAAGAAGTAAGTACACTCCTTGCTGCTCAATGAACACCTGACACTGTCTATTTTCCACAATTTGCACTGGCCAACACATTACATGGTTTTTAACTACACATACATGCAATAACGATAGCAAACACTCTACGAAAATAACACCCTTTTAGTTTGCAACTCAATGTTTCCAAGTCTTTCATCGTGTGATGAAATCGGAATAGAAATATTGTACGCCCGAGCGTAAGAGGAGAGGCAAGACACTCGAGAATAATTGCCGCCTTTGCCGCTATAATGCGGTAGATATGAGCGCCTGAAGTTATGCTGTGCCGCCCGGCACCAGCGGAAGGTGCCTACTAAGACTGCCGCTAGATGGCGGGGACGCAGGCGCCTGTGGGTATACTGTGCCGCCTAGCACGAGTGGGAGTGGTTTAGCCGTATTCTCGCTAGATGGCAGTGGATGTAGGCGCCATCTGTTTACCACAATTGACGCTAGATGGCAGTAGAAGTAGGTGCCTGAAAGTATACTGTGCCCGAACACCGAGTTTATCATTGCTGTCACCAGATGGCAGTGTAAGAAAGCGCCTGCTGGTATACTGTGCCGCCTAGCACAAGTGAGAGTTGTTTAGCCGCACTCTCGCTCAGGCAGTGGATGTAGGCGCCTGTGGGTATACTGTGCCGCCTGGCGCCATCTGTTCACCACAGTTGACGCTAGATGGCAGTAGAAGTAGATGCCTGAAAGTATACTGTGCCGCCGAGCACCAACGAGCTTATCACTGCTGTCACCAGATGGCAGTGTAAGTAAGCGCCTGCTGGTATACTGTGCCGCCTAGCATCAGAGAACGTTGCCCGCATACTCTGCGCTGTGCATTTGAGTCGGCCGTCGAATAGGACGTCGCGAAACGCGAAAGACGCCGAACAGAATGTAACGGAAGATCCGTGCAGCGTGCTGCCAGAAACGGGGTGAACATTTCGAAAATCTGCTCTTAGTGCCGGGTGATAAAAATGACATTCTTTGTCTGTACCTACCTATAATGACCACCGTTTGCACTTTAAAAACGAAGTAGGTACCGCCTTGTGAATGCCAATGTTAACAAATAATAGTTATACTACCTTGCCTTTTATTGTTCACTCATCATTTATGGTCAGCCGATAACTAATGACTGATCGGGCGGCATCACGAGACTCGTCTGAATGGATAGACATTAGTGATAAGTGTTTGTAAAATCGCATAAGCGTAAGAGTTATTTCATAACGATCAACTGATTCCAAAGGTCCCAAGGTGAAAGGCATCATCGCCTCCCTCAACTCACTAGCAATTGACCATTTCAATTCGTCATTATATTGCCGTAACGCGTAACGCGCATTACCTATTAACCCTAGAACGCCTAGGGGGGGGGGGTTGTATCAACCCCCCCCCCCCTGAGGTTTTTTTCGAAGTGCACGCTAAACGGCTTGTCGTAGCGGGCTGAAATTTTCAATACCCTCTGGGGCAACCTTTGCGCATCTTTTGCCGAAAAAAAATTGATCGGGTCATGTCAGGTCACGGAGTTATGACGTCGGTACAGCCTCCGGCCGACAGTTACCAAACGTGTGCGCCGAATCCCTAGGTTTTCTGCCGGTGATACCCACATTGTTTGATGGATCATGATGAAACTTCCCATGCATGTTGGGGCAAGCATTGGCTATCGTGTGGTGCAAGAAAATTGACCGGGTCAGGTCAGGTCACGGAGCTATGACGTCACAAGAGGAACAGCGTCCGGTACTATTTTTGAAAAGCGCCCGAACCACTATTTTGCTAATTCTTGTCACCTCAATGGGAATATGCAGCAATATTAGCTTCTATAGGGAGCAAATGGACCTCCCAAATCCAAAAATACAATCAGATTTCAAAAATTTAAATTTTGATTTTTCGAATTTCTGCCGCCGACTGTGACCTTGCCGACGGCGACTTCCGGCGCTCCCAACGCGCCATTTTTAGAGCTAGGGAAACGAAATACATACCAAACGATAGAGAATTGATCAAGGAACACGATAGTGAAGGTTTCAAGTCGATATCTCCCACCGTTTTGCCGCAATCGCCGCGGATAGTTGAAAAAGTTTGATTTTTTCGGAAAATTTGACCTTTGACCGGTCATAAGTAGGTCAAATGTTGACCTAGGACCAAAAAATATACCACCAATCGCGAGATCTCGTTGAGAGCAATCCGTTGTTTTTTTCCGCTAAGCTCTACGACCTTCCGTTTCGAAACGCCAGGGGGGTCGTAACAACCCCCCCCCCCTGGTCGTTCGTGTTATGAGAAATGGCCTGGTCGTGCGAGGGTTAACACGTTGACGTAAAGTGTCAGGATCAGATAGAAATTGATATAATTTACATTTACGGCCCTGCTATAGACAAGGTGATGATATGCACCATTTGTCTTGAGAAGGAAAAATCTGAGGTTGCTGCTCCCAACACGGGAGGAGACCAGACCAACGGAATCCATTTTAAAGGTCAAGGGTCAATTGATGACCTTATGTACATACACGTTAGACTCATAGCTAAATATGGGCTTTTCGTTTTCGACGAAGCACCCGGCACCCCCCCCCCAAAAAAAAAAACGATCGTAACGCAATTTACCACTCAACATCCGACTGATGACACAAGCATATTATAAACATAAATATATTTCCATTAAAAAGTGTTATAATCACATCATAAATCGACGCTAAACAGCTTGAACTTCTTGAAGTACTTTTGCACCTCGACTTTCGGTGCCGGCTTGGCGGCCAGGCAGGTGGGCACATCCTCTGGTTGTTCCACCCACAGCTTGTGGTCGACGGCCGCCTCGCGGAGAGCTTCATGCAGCCGGGTGAGCGCGTCAGCGTCCGGCGCCGCCAGCACCACCTTGTGCATGTTGTCCACATCTGACAGGTAGGTCTGCACGTGCGGGTCATCTTTGAAGAGGTGCATCACCGCCGTTGTTGCGTGGCAGGCCTGGAAGAGTTCGGTCATTTCAGGAGAAGCGGATGCTCGCCAACGAATATTGTGGAACGGGAAAATTGTACGCCCTGGGCGGTTTCTCTACCAGGTAAAAACAACTAGAAGCTGAGGTTCAGAAGCTGACCAAAACTCAAAATAATGAGAACTGATTCACTGTCTTTTCAGACGATTCAAAAGTGAAATCAGATGGGACAATAATAAGGACAGAAAAAAAAACTAAAAAATTAAGAACATATACAAACTTGTGTAACAGATTACTTGGTATCCTGCAAATACACCTTAGAAGAAACATCGTAGCTTGTACTAAAGCTGGCAAAGAGCAATGTTTCTACATAACACAAGCTCTCAGTTCCCCTGGCATCCACATCTTAACATGAGACTGAGCCAGACAGCAAAGAGTTTGACAATTTTGACAATGTCTTGTCAGTGCAGGCTCAATCAGCCAGTGCATATTTCCATGTGGTGGTACAAATCGTGTATGTTCAAATCATGTGTATCCAAGTCCTGTCCAAATCATGTGTGATGCAGTGCAGATATTAGACTGAGAGTTGAGACAGTATGCATGAGGTACCCACAGCCATAGTGGCATGCTCAACTGCAACAGCTTGTAGTTTGTACCCAGGTAGTGCCACAGGTGTGGCACACATGACATAAGTCTGTCACAGGTGGGAGGCCACCATCCCAGGCTTGGCACAACTACCTACCACAGACAGTACCAAAAACTCTGCAAGGAACACCAGAGAGCCAGTTGTTCTTTTCTCTCAATCTCAACTTGATTGAATAATTATATTCTTGATTCTGCAGCACAATATGTATGCCCTCTTTGTTGCTGGCTCAGGCAGATTTCAGCCTAGTCAGTGTGGTCTCATGCATATTTTTTTTCTTGCCAGGTGCTTCTGCTATCCTGTGTTGATGTGCAATGCTTAGCTAGAATGCTGTTACCTTGAACATGTGAAAACAGGATGTCATTGAAGTGAATAGGGATAGGTAGGTACCTAGATAGAGGGGATTTGGTTAATGTGAAGATGAAGTCCAAGTAGATAAAAAAAAACACATAATCTAACCTGACCTAACCTTACCTACAAGCCTACTTATGTTCAACCTACCAGCCTACAATTTATGGCATTAGTAGAGCAGACACCACACAAAGGCTGGATTTCCAAATTCCAACCAAGAGTAGACGCTGTAGGTTTGTAGGCTGTAGGTTTTAGGTTTGTAGGTTAGGTTGTAGGTAGTACTCAGACTTCATCTAAATCTTCACATAACAATAATGGGAAGTCTTACCTGAGCGATGACAGCTCCAAGAGGCCATTTCAATGTAGTTATTAAATCTGACCGAACTACAACATATTGGACAATTGAAGATGCCATTGCTGGACCCTTGTCTGTTTCCAAAATAGGTACCCAATGTCAATAGGTATTAATATGGTATAGAACCGGTAAATTTACGCCACCAGCCACGATATTATCGGCCTCTCCAGTGATAAATTAATCAGCACACAATACCATAAGTAAAAAACAAGCACACCTTAAGACCACATCAACAATGGATGTTTAAATAAATGGTCAAATCAAATACAGAGTCCTTATCATTATGGCCTACAAAAACAAAAAATGGACACGTACTATAGTTCGTTTTTCTTAAGTTTGCCCCTCACTGTAAACGTCTTTTTGAACACAGCACGAGAATTGCTAGCTGAATTACTGAGAAAACTGGTTGGCGCACATTGTATTGTAGATATGAATAATATTTTCAAAATTAAGCTTTGAACACCGACGATTTAACGTTATGTTAAGCGCCGTGCAATTTATTTATTAGTTCACACATAATTCCTGAGAAGTCGTCTATCCCTGTGGGGCTGTAGGTATTGGCAAATACGAGCTACGAGTCTGTGAAATAGTAAATAAATTTGATCAAATTGATCGTCTGTCAAATCTGGTCAAATCAATGTGCACCAACCAGTTTTCTAAGTAATTCAGCTAGCAATTCTCGTGCTGTGTTCAAAAAGACGTTTACAGTGAGGGGCAAACTTAAGAAAAACGAACTATACCAGGGTATATAGAACAACACGTACTACTGTAAGATGTGTACTGTAAGACACGTACTACTGTAAGATTGTACACAATTAATAAACGTACTGTTTGATTATGTTCAAAAGTAAGAGTCACTAGCCTAAATGATCAGCTTTAGCGTATATCAACTAATCAAAAGTGAGGATTTTCATAACTTCTGCTTGCAAAACTACTGGCACCAAAATGAGCACTACAGGGTGTTCGCAAAATGGGTGAGTATTGAAGCATCCAAGAGCGCAGCATCCAAGGGACGCAACATCCAAAACCTTAGCATCCAGCGATCAAAACGTCCAAATAACATCCAAAACCGACCCCTTAGGGATGATTCAGAGCATCCAAGAGCGAAACAACCAAAACTGCAACATCCAGGACCACAGCATCCAAAATCGTATCATCCAAATTGGCAGCAACCAAGGACGAGGAATTGCAGCATCCAAGAGTGAAACATCCAAGGGTGCAGCATCCAAAACCGTATCATCCAAAAACATTTTTGGCACCGCAGCATCCAAGACCTTATCATCCAAAATAGTGACATCTGTTGTACAAGCTGTAAACTATTAGTTCAATGGCTGTCCGATAGGTGGTGGCACGTACGGTTCATAAGTGACGGAATTGTATGACATCACTGAGTCTCTATACAGTGGCATCCCTATAATGACCTTACATCCTCAAGACGGAGGTGCGTAGCTGCTGGTAGCGACATCGCTGCGATACCACTACAAACCTGACATATGACATGAAGACGCATTGCAGCGTATCCAGCGCGGCACGTATGTAGGTAGGCTGAAGTGTCGATAATGGAACCGATACCGAAGTGGCTTATTAATTGCCCTTTGTTTTCACACCAGAAGTGCCTAATAAGTCGTGAAGTGTCCACTATCCCCGTAACCAAACCGCAAGGATCTTCATCTCACCATCAGATCGCGCTTATCATCGTCAGCTCCTCCCGTTCCTTCACAGTTAACTTTTTTTCCTGTCCTATGTGATATATTCCATGTTCCAGAGGGCAAAAAATATAAAAATAGCCGTTTATACCAGGGTGCGGAGCCGGAGCCGGAGCAGCCGGAGCCGGCATATTTTGCCCAGAGCCGGAGCCGGAGCCGGAACCGGAGCCGGAGCCGTCAAAAAAGGGGGACTCCGGCTCTTTTTTTAAGAAGAAAAATTATTGACCTAGCTCGGTTTGACAGTACAAGGCCATGTGGTATTCACTATTCAAATTAGCCTTGTTATGCAAATACAGAGGCAACGTGTACCAATCCAATTTCAATCGCCCTTTCTCTTCCACCCGTAGATATTTAATTAATCGCATAGGGGATGTACCTACTGAGAAGGAGCCGGAGCCGCCGGAGCCGGACCATTTTACTCGGAGCCGGAGCCGGAGCCGGACCGTCTGAAATTTCCACGGCTCCGCATCCCTGGTTTATACGAAAAAAAAGTTTTAGGTAACAGATTTTGACTGAAGGGAGCCACGACATTACTTTTACCAGCAACGTGTTCCCCTCGTCGAGTCGCGTCGAATGAAATTCGGACTTCTAAGGTCATTTGGAAAATTTGACCTCGGTCAGGCATGGCCTGACCGGAAAGGGTCATGCTGCATATCAGTTGATCCGTATCGCCGAGTTGAACACATCTGACATGTTTTTTACCGCTCTAGCACGTCTGTCGTCTCTTATATCAATTCAAAAGAAATAGTTAAAAAAAACTGCTGGTGACCCTTCATGACCTGAGATAACCTCAGGTCACACAAAGGGGTAACGGGTGCAATATTCGGGTGTGTCATGTTTTCCAATAAACCGATGTTTGAGAGTGTTTATAGATAGCATGGGCGTCGAAAGCGGGGGACGGGGGACGCCCCCCCCCCCCCGCCGGCAGTCGATGAATCCGGGGGGGACGTCCCCTAAAAAAACGGCCATAAAGGATTTTAAAAGTGACTATTTGCAACGGTCATTCAATATGGAGTCATGTAAACAGAAATAACCATTTTTAAAAGAATACCTACTGATGCTGGTCAGTTCGACGGTACAACTGAGAACTCAGACACTTCAGCGGCTCAGGTACAGCCCACCGCTAAAGTAATGTAGGGTTTTAACAATCTCAACGGTTGGCTTTGACTGGCGATTGTTTAATGCGGAGTTATCGAAAAGAAGATGTCAATAGCTAAAGTTGCAGCTGCAAGGGTGACGATACATATACCTAAGCTACATCCAAAGTTTCATTGTAGTCTGGCTAATCGTTCCTAAGCTTCATAAGCAGACATACCCATGACTGAAACCCCACATTACTTCTGCTGTGGACTGTACACCCACCAAAGGCTGAAGTTCGGTCCTCTGGGTAGGGTGACAGCTGCATAAGCCACACATTCGAATATTCACAATACTCAAGCAAGACCCCCACTTCTAAACGGCCATCCTCCCGTGCTAGGCAAAACGACAGCCGAAGGGGCTCACCAGTTCACCATGACCTTAGAGTACCTGATGCTGGTGTGAGAGGTCAGAGGACCTCGCCACGGTCTGGGATTTTTTTTTATTGGATTAGGACTTTTCGGTCTGACGAGACCATTTCAGAGCCGGAAGGAGATGGGAATTAGGGGGAGGGCGAGGGGGGACATTTGGTCTGGGCGAGCACCCTGATGAGTCGACGAGGCTGAGCCCGTCCAGAGGGCAGGCCGACCAGCACCCCAAGCACACACCAGTCACCGCACCCGGTTACGGTCGTGCTCTTATCGGGGTTCCCGCATGGGATAAAGTTGCCTCGTCCAGCCCGGAACAAGGAGTTGAGGCGTGAGGAGAGGGATTTGACTGTCCTGAGGATAGAATGACGGAACGGTGTGTGGTATGAGAGGGTCCAGGAGGTTTGAATACTCAGTGTGGGCCTATATTGGTCTGACCTCTTTACTGATACAACCACCGTCCACCAGTCACAACGGTCAACAGAACCTACAGCTCTTATCCCACCTGCCCACGATCGGCTAAAACGGCTTCATAAATTTCGACTAACCAGTTAAGAGCAATGAGCATGACTTCAAGCCAGAGAATGTCGACTCTGACTTCGGAGTCGAAGTACAAACGACTTCGGTGACTCCAGCTCCGACTCTGGCCAGAGCTGTCAAGTCAAGCTGACGAGCTGTCAAGCTCCGGCTCCGATCCCGCAGTCCTGCACTTGCACTACACAAAATTTCAAACTTCTAGGAAATAAGTTATACGGTTAAAGGACCACATTTTTTTTTAGAGGGCTATTTGACTTTGTGACCAGACCTTAGTTAAGTGTTAAGGAGCGGACCTTAGTTAACCCTAGAACGCCTAGGGGGGGGGGGTTGTATCAACCCCCCTGAGGTTTTTTCGAAGTGCACGCTAAACGGCTTGTTGTAGCGGGCTGAAATTTTCAATACCCTCTGGGGCAACCTTTGCGCATCTTTTGCCGAAAAAAATTGATCGGGTCATGTCAGGTCACGGAGTTATGACGTCATAAGAGGTACAGCCTCCGGCCGGATTTTCACAAACTGAGTGCCAACGCCCGAGGTTTCCTGCCGGTGGTACGAACATCGGTTGATGGATCGTGATGAAACTTCCCATGCATGTTGGGGCAAGTATTGGCTATCATATGGTATAAGAAATTTGACCGGGTCAGGTCAGGTCACGGAGCTATGACGTCACAAGAGGAACAGCGTCCGGTACTATTTTTGAAAAGCGCCCGAACCACTATTCTGCTAATTCTTGTCACCTCAATGGGAATATGCAGCAATATTAGCTTCTATAGGGAGCAAATGGACCTCCCAAATCCAAAAATACAATCAGATTTCAAAATTTAAATTTTGATTTTTCGAATTTCTGCCGCCGACTGTGACCTTGCCGACTTCCGGCGCTCCCAACGCGCCATTTTTAGAGCTAGGGAAACGAAATACATACCAAACGATAGAGAATTGATCAAGGAACACGATAGTGAAGGTTTCAAGTCGATATCTCCTACCGTTTTGCCGCAATCGCCCGCCGAAAGTTGAAAAAAGTCTATTTTTCCGAAAAATTTGACCTTTGACCGGTCAAAAGTAGGTCAAATGTTGACCTAGGACCAAAAAATATACCACCAATCGCGAGATCTCGTTGAGAGCAATCCGTTGGTTTTTTTCCGCTAAGCTCTACGACCTTCCGTTTCGAAACGCCAGGGGGGGGGGTCGTAACAACCCCCCCCCCCCTGGTCGTTCGTGTTATGAGAAATGGCCTGGTCGTGCGAGGGTTAAGGAGCGGGTTGGATGCCATGCCACATTTCGAGTCGGGAGACGTCACTGCAGACTTCGAAACTCCAAAATGACTTTATTAAGCGGATTGATAACTGTGGATATCTATGGAGAAAAATCCGGGAACAGCTCAAGCCAGTAGCGGCGGAACACCTTCAATTAAGGGTGGGGGTGGGGGAGGGGGGTGGGCACTGCCGACTTTTGGTCCCATTCTTTCCATGCATCGCCCATAGGGCTCATGTTAAAATGCCAAAATCAAAAGGGGACACGGTGCCCCGGTGCCCTCCCCGTTCCGCCGCCTATGGCTCAAGCGGCCACAATAAGCGGCTGGATTTATTATTTGAGGATTTATTAAGCAGATTCCACTGTACAGCATTAAAAATAAGCCCACTGCAGGCCTGCGTTGCTAATGGGTAGATACAGGTCTCACGAGATTAAGCGGTAGGTTTTGCACTTTTACATTTCCGGTTATATCTCAGAAACTAATCGATCTACGATGAAGCCATTTTACACGATCATGGCCGGCTTGTTACCCAACAAGTCGATCGCATCTTCAACACTTAAAGGCTTAAGGCGACGAAGATATAGCCTGAAGTACACTAAATTTTCTAGGTGCAAAA